AGTGGGGAACTACCTTCGCTGTGTTCGTGATGTGCAAATACATTATTGAATAAGCCCTGATTCCTAAGAACCTATTTGAGTAACAGAGTATTACGGAAAGAAGATCATAACACAAAGAGCTTATCTCTCGGAAAGACTGGTGAGGTTAGCGTATGCATGTTTTCGTCAGCATGAGTGAACTTTGAACAAGTCACTTGAGGCATGTTTGTCACGTCACTGACTGGCATGTTTGTCATTGTTGGGTACGAGCGTGGGTACGAGCGTGAGCACGAGCGTGTATGATCAGGAGCAAGAAAGGCAATCAAATGAATGACGTCATGTAACAATAAAAGGCCATTATTAAAAAAATATTTTCTTTCTTTCTTTCAATGAAAATGCTACATGTTCCACCAGCAGCGGCACACGCACACTCACCCACACGAAGGCACGACTGAAATACGTTTTCAGTGGGAATCGGTTCTTTTAATAGTTAATAAATCGTTGTACAAAATCTTGAAAGCGGGAAACAATATGAAAAATGTACATATTCAGAATGCATTAATGAGTGTGCCTTCTCCAGAGACGAGGCGCCGGGGCCCCGTGGGTCAGGTCCTGGCTCGGTTCATTTCGTGCGCTGTTGGCACGGCATCAAAAGAAGAGAAAAAAAAGTATCTCAAGGTTTCAAAAAAGCGATATATTATTTTATAGTAACAAAGTCAAAAACGTTTGGTTTCTCTTACCAATGTATGTTCAATGCAGCCCTAAACAGTGAATATAGAATAAGCATACAGCAGTTGAAGAAAACATTGCTGGTCGTTAAGTAGTGTTTGCCGGGCGGTGAGGGGCGGATTTTAGCCCGATTGCTGTGAATGAATAGTTAAATTATGCTAAGCAGAAAGTTCTTGAGGTAGAGATGTTTAAGGCTTAATGATTATCTTAAATTGAAAGTATTTTCAATATTAGAATGTAGCGTAGCTATCGTCATGTGGAAAAGTGTCTATCTCTATGCGTTTTAACGGTAGAAATTCGGCATATTTTGAGCCAATGTGGACTGAGTGAAATAACTGGAGTTGATGGAGTCAAGTGATGTCCAGAGATAAAGTGACTGAGTCAGAATAAATATCCGAGTACCTGGAGTCAATAAATAATTTTTGATGGATCATAACATTGGATGTATGCTGGAATACGTTGGCACGTACTCAGCCAAAGAAACCCGTCGATAAAATTATTTTAAACACTTGTTTATCGGGTGATGTTTCTAAAAACGGAACGAAAAAAATG